GCATTTATTTAAAGATGAAATTCGTTTTTTAGGGCATGATATTGTCAAAAACACTATTAGACATATTACAAGAAGTTTGCAGTTTTTTACTAAATTTCCTGATGAAATTAAGGATAAAAAGCAACTTTAAAGATTTTTAGGATGCTTAAATTATATCCATGATTTTTTCAAAGATTTAGGGATTATATGTAAACCACTTTATAACAGATTAAAAGATAATCCTGAACCATGGACTCAAAAACATACAGATATAATTAAATATATAAAACAAAAGGTTCCTACTTTGCCATGTTTAAATTTACCTCATCCCAATGCCAATATCATAGTTGAAACCGATGCTAGTGATATTGGATTCGGAGGAATTCTAAAACAAAAATTTGTTAATTCAAAAGAAGAACAATTGGTTCGATATTACTCTGGTGCATGGAATGATACACAAAAAAACTATTCAACTGTCAAAAAAGAAATTTTAAGTATTGTTTTATGTATTAAAAAATTTGAAGATGATTTATTTATGAAAAGTTTTTTTATTAAGAATAGATTGTCAATCTGCAAAAACTATTTTAGAAAAGGATGTGAAAAATATTATTTCCAAACAAATTTTTGCTCGATGGCAAGCCCTTTTAGGTAACTTTGATTTCGAAATAGAATTCAAAAGGCGAAAATAATTCGCTTCCTGACTTTCTTTCTCGAGAATTTTTGCAGGGAAAATGAGTTCATCGTCCTCTTCCAAACATGATGACAAGAAACCCGTCTATCAAAAGCTTGTTCCATTTCAAAATCAAAATCGTTTTTCTCCTTTAACCCCTACTTCTAAGAATTCACAACTTTATTCTAATATCCTTCAATCAAAACTTGTTACTCCAAAAGTTACTTCAACAAACACGATAAACCCTTTTGTAAGACCTTTTACTCCTCAAACTCAAAATTCTGTGACTCCTAGCCCTCCTACAAAAACTCCTTATGTTCTTAATCCAAATTTCTTAAGAGTTCAAATTCTTGAAGATTTTCAAATCCATAAGTTACATCAAGGTTTTCATATTCTCACAAATCATCTTTTTGGTCAAGGGAAAACCTTTATGTTGATTCATATAAAACTCGAGCATATTATCAAGCTATTTTGCAAGAATCTGGTTCGGTCAATTTTGTTCATCGTTCTAATTCAAAAGAAGGAAACATTGATTTTAGCAAAGCTCACATCATCAAAATCATTTCTCCAGAAAGTTGGGTTCCAAACCTTCATTCTGAAAAACCTCTTATAAGTTATCCTGCTTATCCCAGATTTTCTTACTATGATTATCAAGATGCCTGGACTAAGGCGTTCTTTATTCGAAATTATTCACACTCATGGTTTATCTTCTTTGATTTAAACTTCAATTGTGAATACCCAAGATGGTTTATCAAATGGTATAAATATATGAGAATTCTTCCAAATTGTTTACCAAAAGAAATTTACGATGGATATCTCAAATTTAAGGAATTGTTTATTCAACAAATTCCAGAATTTGAATATATGCTACAATTCACTATGATATTCAGAGTTCCATGGATAATGTCTTGGACTTTTCATTATCAAGAAGCAAATGATACCTCTCCTCCCTGGCTTAATCGACAATTTCGCTCAAAATGGTGGGATAAAATGAAGATTTCTCAAGCCAGTGAACAAGCAGTAATTAAATATTATCAAGAAATATATATTCTCAAGCCAGTGAACAAGCAGTAATTAAATATTATCAAGGAATATATATTCAAAGTGATGTGGATTTAATTTCAAGAATTAAAGATGCTGCTACCTCTTCTCCTGAAGAACTTCAAAACTTACTTCAAGAAATTCGCCAAACTCCATCAGTTTCTGACGATTCTCCAAAATCTATAAAGAATGGTTTATTTCAAGACGCTCAAGACCCTTTTGATGATCCTTATGAAGAATAAGAAATTCTTAAATTTGGTGTAATACCTTCAATGTAGGGTATTTCGTTTGTTCTATTTATCAAATCCATTATTTTCAAATACGAGTGTGTATATACTGTGTAATTTTACACTATATGTATTTATAGTGTATAAAACAAATATTATCAAATTTATTATCAAAATTATTTAGTCTTATCAGCAATAATAATATGAAGACAAAAAACTTTACAAGATGCTCCATAATGGATAATATGAAGACAAAAAAACTTTAGAAGATGTTCTATGATGATATGCTTTATCAAAATGTGATATTTACTGATTACAAAAGACAATTTCTTCAAAAGATGAAAGTGACAACCACTTACAAATAATTGATTGGCCATTGAATCATACGGAAAGATTTCACTACAAGATTTCAAGGTTTTGAAGACTTCAAGAGGAATATAAATAGACATCATGTGTTAGTAGAACAAAGCAAGCAAAAATATTCATTCTCTAAAATATGTTCATCCTATGTCTAAAAAATCTCCAAGAGTCTCTCTTTCTACTAGCAGATGTTCAAAGTCTCTAGATTTTCAGATAATTCTTTCTCTAGAAGTATGTACTGATTGTAATTCAAGCTTAGTTCAAGAAGGTATTATCTAAAATATTTATTCAATTGTTGTATTGCTTTTATTGACGATGATAGTTTCATTTCGAGTTGTTCTAACTATTAATTCTACAAGATTTGAAATTTTTGTTAAAATAGTACTCGTTTTTAATAATCAAATTAATCAAATTCATGCTTGAATTATTTAATTATGTCTAACAAAATCTTGATGAATTGTATTCTTAATAGAGATATTCTTTTAAAAATACAACAAATCCAAGAATCTATAAATAATTCTGAGCAAAATCTCAAAGATTCTTACAAACCTAATAATCTAGGTACGATTTTAAATAATAATCATATTCATGATGTTAGACAATTCATAAGAGTTAGTATTAAAATTCGTTACAAGCAAATACGTTATCTAAAAGCAAAACTATTTGTATTTTAAATTATCATTTATGTCTTTTAAACATTAATCATAATCATTATAATCATTAAACATTATTTGTAAACATATTAAAAATTAAACATTATTTGTAAACATCTTGATAAAAATATGTAAGAAAATATGGTTATATATATCTATATATATATATATAATATATATATATATATATATATATTATATATATGTTTGTATCTAAATTTACTTTAGTATTGACAAGTTATTTATTTTATTAGATTTCAATAGAAGTAATTTTTCGATAAGTCTTTGGATTTTAGACCTTAGCTAGTTAAGTATTTTGTCCTATATATAGATATATATATATATATATAAGATATATATATATATATATATATAATATATAAGTATATATATATATATATAATATATATATATATATATATATATATATATACTATTTATATATATATACTAGGGAAGTCGAAGCCGTGTTAAACACGACCCAGTGTCGTCAATTTTTTGTCATATAAAACTATGTCTAGATGAAGTTATCATGGTTGGTAGATTAAAGAATGTATATATTTTATGTCCTATCTTCCATATTTATCTTCCATATTTAATTCAATTGCAAGATTCTCATAGATGAACTCGAACAGTATACCCTCTACATAGTATATATTACATAATATATATATATATATATATATATCTATATATTCTTGCTCATAGATGAACTCGAACAGTATACCCTCTACATAGTATATATATATATATATATATATATATATATATATATATATATATATATATAAGTTCTTTAGCCGTAAAATATCTTCAATACAATTGAAGTGTAAATTCAACAAATAAAATTTAATAAAAGATATTCTCAGCCCAACTATTTTCTTCTACAGAACAAGGACAGTGTAATACTTGCACTCAAGAATTATTGTAAATGGTGAAAGTTTCTTCCTCGGGATTTGCATAACTCCTTCCTACCATTTTACAAAAAGAAAAAATTATTCCAAGATTATTGGTAAGTGGGAAATAGATTTGCTAAAGCTCTAAAAGGTTAATGTAACTTGACTGACTTGCGAAAATAGTCATTATTGGTAAAATATTAAAAAATGAAAATGTAAAAGGCAACAACTTACAACTTTTTGAAGAATGAGTTTTGGGGCCTGTCACTTGACCCAGTGTTGCCATGTATTATGTACATAGATAATGGTTAGACGAAGTTGGAATTGCTACAACACACAAATAAACATGTAATTGGAGGTGTATACAATAATTAATAACAATAGATGGTTACTAATTTCGAATAATGAAGGGATTAATGTCATTTTGAGAGAATGCATTTCATATAACTAAATGATTACTAATATGAGCGGTGTACTTTTCATTCATGTCATCTTACTTTCTATTAATGTCATTTTACAGCAACCTGCTTACCATTTATGCCATCCTACAACTATTGTGCCTTTAAATAGATAGCAGGTTACTATACATTCACTAAAGTACTCTACTTATGTCATTTTACAGCAACATACTTTCTATTAATATCATTTTATAGCAGGCCTACTTTCCATTTATGCCATCTTATATTGTTCATTATATCAATTTATAACAGCGTGCTTTCTATTTATGTCATCTGAGAACTATTGTGGCTTTAAATGGCAAGTATGTTGCTACAAATTGACTAAACTACTCTGATGAAGAGGTGTTGGTTGGTGTTGTAGGTTAAACATTGGTTAAAACTAATTAAAGGGTAAAATAGTCATTTTCGATGGGACATAGACCTAAATATTAAAAAACTCTCCGGTAAAGACTAAAATTTGAAAAATAATCATATTTGTACCTGATCCAACATGAGTATAAATAGAAAAAACATGCTCTAGTTTGTCGACTATAATTCCCCTTTTCCAAGATTTGTTGATTCTACTTCATCTTAAATTTTCAGTAGAAAGAATCTACTTGACATGATGCAATTCTTTACATAAATGTAATCAGATTAACAGAAAATAGAAATAAAGAATATATAACAGGAATCAGGAAACTAACAAGAAAATTAGTACACAAACTGGTAAAATTTTGTCATCGAGTTCTTGGCTTCTGCCATATAACATCTGCAAATCTGCAACAATAGAAGTGGGTAAGCCTCAATTCAAACCTGCAAAGGCAGAATATCTTCATGAGAGATGAAAATGAAGAATTTGAACCTGAAAAAAAAACGTTCATATTTTTAATCTGTCATCGTTTACGAAATCAAAAACCAAAATAGATGGAAAAAAAAAACAAATAAAATGGGAAGATGCTAACAGGTTTACCCTTTAAGCAATGCATGAAATTTTATCAAACAACTTTGGGGAAATTCAGAATAAACAAGTCTCTCAATCTTTCAGCAAATGGTAGGTAAAATACATCGAAACCATTAACCCTTTCACAGAAGTCATCTTTTTCCCTTCTGGAGGTTTTGAAAAAGAAAGAAACAAATATGAGGTATATGTAAATGTTAGTATGTATATTAGAATGTACCATAATTGAAGGGTTATTTCTGCAACTTGTTTGGTTAAGTTCTTATAAATGGTATCTTCAACAGCTGCGAGAAAAAAAAGAAGTAAATCTTAAATATATATATTTCATCAGCTAAATTTGATGACTATGGAAGAAATCGCAAACATAATACATGTTCAATGAATATAAAAGAGGCCAAAAATCCAAATTCAGTGGGTTTTAACATGAAAGCACAAACTCTTTGCAATAATTATATTACAACTCAAGCAAAAGCTACCGAGAATCATCAAAACACGGAATAATATTCAAAGTCACTACACTTATGCGTTTAATTATACTATTTGTCTATTTACCATGGTTTCACCAAACAAATAGGGCAAAAACATTTTTAACGCAAAGAAATTGTTAATCCTAACTTACAAATAGATCAAAATAAGTAGGGGAAATCTAAACTAACCTAACCTGAAAGAAAAAGAAGAGTATTGGGTAAGTAATGATAAAATATTAATTTATAAATCATTAAAGGTAGAATATATAGCTGACTTTTGAAGAATAGATGTTGGTTGACAACTGGATAAGTCAATCCATCTTCAGAATTACATACAGACTAAAAAAAATTATAATCCATAGCTAGTTTACAATTCAGTTCATATATTGAACCAATTTGCTAGAATTTGAATTTGAAGGCACCAAATCAAGTTCAGAATCAAAATTGGTGAACTATCAACTAAAGAAAATTAAAGTAACAAAAGAAGTTCCGATTTGCTTTCTAAACCACAAATTTTCATGATTATGTGTGTATGTGTGTGTTAAAAAAGATAATGTTAGAAAAGAGGACGGAAAAAGGAACACCGATTGTACAATTTTAGTTGATTCCCTCTGATGAGGCAACATACCAATAACACACCAAGAAGAACCAACACCCCTCCCACCTCCTATTACATTCCTCATGTAATTTTGACATGTCAATTGTGAAATAAAATTAAAATGAGACCAGATGTCTAGCCAACAAAACACAGACATGAAAGAAAAATCACACCACCATGTATCCCAAATCCAAAGTCGTTATACCCAAAAGATACACCATCACTCTCTTTCTTGAAACAACCTAACATTCACTACTTCTTCCATAGATCATCAAGAATTGGTTCAAAAATAAGATGAACTAAAAACAGAAATATAAACAAATTTCAAATCATAAGCCGTTTAAACAAAACAAATTGTAGATTCTAAAGTCAAAGTACTTAGTATCAGTGCAATTAGGTTTAAATAATACTATTAACCTAGTCTTGCCAACCAAGGCAGCCTTGTTATTGGGGTTGAGTATCAACAATCACGAGAACCATCCAAGTAATTTACTGAAAAAATTACATCCAATATACCTTCTTGATAGGAATAAAAAAAATCATATAATGAGATGAATAGGATAGATGAACAACTAACCTCTACACCGAAAATGGAGCTTATTGTAGAAACTTGAGTCACCGTGGAAATTAAATGTCGTGACGTCGTGATTTTTCTGATGGTTATTCATCGAAACAAAAAGAGACGCAGTGGAGAGTGAAGAGGGAAAAGAGGGAAGCGGTGGAATAGAGAGCTTGGAGACATCATCCCCAAATATCGATTTTCCCGTCACCTTGCTCAGCGTCGTTAGCTAATCAACATCGTCACCCACCCCAAACACCACAATCATCGTCATTCACTTCCAGTTTACTGGTATATCTTTAATACGAAGCGAGAGAGAGAGAGAGAGAGAGAGAGAGAGAGTGGAATTTACACCCCGCCTCTCCATTACTGGAGATTATACTCCACGCGCCAATCTCATTATAAAATTCCACAGTAAGTATACAAAATTCTCTGCTTAATTCTCAAGCTCTCCCACTTTCCACTTTCCTCTAAATATAGAGCATTGGATTAAAATATATAGTATACCTAGGACAGCAAAGCTATGGAATATATTTGTCAGCAAAAAATAGGAAAAAAATTCGATTAGAACCTGATAGAAGTTGAAATTGAAAGACATTAAAAGTTCTTGTACAGGTTATTTAATATAGGCGGCATGAATCTGGTAACTCCCAAGGATCAGAATTATTAGCATCGACCTCAGGGATGATGCGCCTCAAAGTATGGTACCACAAGTTCTTCATTTGTCGGGTGGAACCAGAAAGCAAGAAGGCAATCTCAAGACACCGTTTTACACAAAATTCAGGATAACGGTTTAACCCTTTCAATTTCAAAACCAAATTGAAGCCCTAATCGATTCTTGTAAAGCAAGGGATAACTACTTCGAAATTTTTCAACACCAAAATACAGAAATTAACTGAGGGGAAACAAGGGATCGACAGCCAATCGGAAATACCCTTATTTTCATAGAAACAGAAATACAGGGGAAAAGCCGTCATAAATAAAATAGAATTTACCATTGTAGAGAAGAGATGTAGGAGGTGTGTGATGGTCTCCATCTGCATGTGTAGACAAACTAACAGGAAGAGGATATCGTGTGGTATGGATGACAGAAAAGGAGAGCTTTAAATAGTAATGTATTGGGAAAGCTACTGGTGTACTGGGAAAGACAAACCTGGACGCGTGTACAAGGAGAGAATGAGAAGGAGGCAGGTGTCCCGATGACTCATCAAGGAAACAGTAGTGTGAGTGATTGACTGATTGTCCTTCACGCAATCCATGGACCATCCACTCTAAACCCGAACCAACAACCAAAATTCAGCAAAAATCCAGAGAAATTCCCACAAAAATACTTGTTAATGCCTCCAGCTCATCCACTTTTCCTAAGAATCTAGAGCAACGAGCGTACTTTTATATATATATATATATATATATAAAAGTCCAATTGAGAAAAATAAAAAAATTGAGAATGGAGTAATCATTATCAGCCACTTATTTATTTTTGTCTCAAAAACCTACGTCGTACCAGCATAAATTGGAAAGTAATACACATGTGTTTTCCAACAAAACATGTTTCCTTAAACTATCTTAATCATTACCTTAATATATATAAAAACATAGTTTTTTTTCGTTTTTTTAATTTTTAAGAAAATATTTTTATCGAAAAATGATTTTAAATATATCAAAATTCACGATTTTTTATTTTCTACAAATAGATATCCATATTGATATACTTTTAAGATAAAATAAAAAATTTATTTTTTTTATATTTTCAGCTATCGTTATTTATAAGTGAATAAAAATGCATCAAATTTTGCTACAATACATTCGTTATTCACTTATGAATAAAAATATATAATTATTTTTTTTACGGTTTAAGTATCATTTATACTACTTATTCATATATGAATAACAAGTTAACTGTAACAAAAATCTGATAAATGTTTTACTCATATATGAATATAAAATATGACGACAACTAATATACGTTTTATTCATATATAAATAGAATATATGACGAAAGATAATGTAAAAATATATATTTTAAGAAAGAAAACTTTATTACGTGTCATATTCATATATGAACGATACTTAAACTATAAATAAAAATTAAGCATACGTTTTATTCATAAGTGAATAACGAATGTACTGTAATAAAAAATCTGATAGATTTTTATTCACTTATGAATAACGAGAGCTGAAACTCTAAAAAAATTAATTTTTTATTTTATCTTAAAACTATATCAATATGGATGTCTATTTATAGAGAATAAAAAATTATGAATTTCGATATATTTAAAATAATTTTTCGATAAAAATGGCTTTCTAAAAATCAAAAAAAAAATATGTTTTTGTGTATATTAAGGTAATGATTAGCATGGTTTAAGGAAACATGTTTGGTTAGAAAACACATGTTTATCCGTTATCCATTTCCGCTGGTACGCTTAATTGTTTTGCGGCAAAATAAATGTGTGGCTGAGGGGTCGTTTGATAGTTGCTGATTGGGTTAGAGCTGACTGAGTTAGAAGCTGAATGGGTTAGAAATGCTGACTGAGTCCACATCTGACTGAATTTATGCTGTTTGATTATTTATCTGACTGATTGTGCTGAATGATAAAAATGACCATATTATCCTTATGTTTTCCTTTTGTGTTGGATAAAATAATTATAAAAATAAAAATTATCACATAAAATCCAAATTAAACATACATCATTTAAAATCCAAATACAAAGTGTAATACAAAACCCAAATACACATTGTCATACATAATAAAAAAGTATATCATTTAACGTGAACCATTTGAAAGTAACTGATTAGCAATCTGGTCACACAAAGTAGTCATATACTCAACGGCTTCTGAACCCCATTCTATGCCTTGTATGTGTTGGCCCTCACTTCCTCCACCTCCCACATTAGGAGTAACCATAGTGTTTTGTTCAAAGTACGTAAATAGGTCATCTTGAATATCATATTTCTTTATAAAATTATGGACCGCAACACAGGCAATGACTATGTCTCTTTGCACTGGAAAAGGATAAGGAGTCATACGTTTTAAAATTGGAAATATCGCCTTCAATACACCATAAGCACGTTCAATGATATTTCTAAGTTGTGCATGAGCATGATTGAACCTTTCTTCCTTAGTTAAAGTTTTGTTTCTTCGAAAATCGGCTAACCAATACCTAGTATTGCGGTAAGGAGCCATAAATCCACGGGTGTTGGTGTATGCGGCATCACAAATGTAATATTTATCTGTAGATAGTGACAAATTAATCATATAAATAATATAGATAATAAAACTTATAGAAAAATGACAAACTTGGTGGAGGGAATGGAAATCCAGAAGTCGGATTAAATGCAACTTCTTTCAAAACTTTAGAATCGTGTGTTATGCCCTCCCATCCAGCCCATACAAAGGTGAATATCATATCAAAATCACAAATTCCTATTACATTTTGATAACATTCACATTTTCCTCTTCCCCTATAGCGAGTTTGTTCATCAACGGGCACAACTGCATGTACAAGTGTTCCATCTAGTGCACCTAATGCTCCAGGAAATATGTTTTTTGCCCCTGAATATGAATGCAAAAAAAAAAATTAGAACAACAGAAGGAAAACAAACCTATTCCTGCGATCGTTGTTGATGGATTTTGCTGCTGTTGATCGCTATTTCTATTTATCGCTTCCTTGATTGATGTTGCGGCTATTCACCAATTCTCTTCATGCGATCGATGTTCTTGCTGTTGGCCGATGTTGTAGTTGCTGGAAGTTAAACGTGGGAGGGATGATTGCAAATCTGATCGCAGTAGAATATAGGGCAAGCGATATGTTTTTTTGATTTTTTTCTCGGTCCGTCAAGTAGAAAACAAGGACCGAGTCCTCTCTTTTTTTGGACCGGATCCTAATGTTGGACCGAGTCCTTCCACCTATAATCAAAATCAAACGTGCCAATTGATTTTTTATGGACTCAGTCCCACTTTGGACCCAGTTAGATACCATATAAAACGACCCCTGAGAATGATTCTCTCATTCTCAACCTTTTTTTTCTCAATTGAACCCTCCTCTCTCTCTCTCTCTCTCTCTCTCTATATATATATATATATATATATATATATATATATATATATATTCCAAAATGTATATTTCATATAATCTAAAAGGTAGTCCTAAAAAAAATTAATATAATTAAAATATTAAAAGTCAATAATATTTTGGTAGAATTCATAGAATTTTTAGAATTAAAGTGAATGATATAACTTTTATTATATATATCAAAATAATCATAAAAAATGATTATTTTGGATTTTAAAAATATATAATTTGGAATTTATTTTCATTTCAACCGAATAGTTTCAAAAAAATCTTTGTTTGCCTTTAATTTTTTTTATGGTGACTTGGTAAGGCATGCTGAAGATATGGTTGATAATCTATTGACCCTTGTTCAAATCCTAGCGTGAGTTGTCTTCGCAGCAGGAAGCTGTTGGACAAGGAGCTCGTTGTATCAAGTGGTTTCTTTTCGGGATCGTTGATGTTTAGGTCATAAGGTGTTTAGGTCGCTCAGGTTGAGTATCGATTGTTGATGGATTTGTTAGCCCGTTGCATAGATTGCTATTTAAAGTCCAAGATGAGCAGTTGATGATCTGCCAATCTACTTCAGAGTTTGGTATATGTAGTTTCACATGGGCTTTGTTCAATAGTGTATTGGTTTAGTGGATTAGTTGTAAATGCATTCTCGATCGTTGGTCATTTCGTTCATCGTCAATAGCTGAGGTTCTTCGAAAGTTTTGAGCTGTATCAGTGGAATTATTGTTCATAGTACGCTCGGGTTTGGCAACTATCCTTGGTTATTGGGAGTTCGGACGTCGGAGTGGTATTGTTTACTTTTTTAGGTGTGGCTTTGGATCTGGGTGGAATCTAACTTGAGCATGTCGTGTCGACAGGGTTGGTATTTGAATTGATCCGACCAAGGTTTTAGCAGCATTTAAGAAAAGGGGCGCGATGCATGCAATCAACCGAGCTCAAGTAAGTATTTCCTAAAATACCCATACATGTGTTATGCTTATTGTTTTTGGTCGTGGGTTCGAGTCCCACAGATGGCGCCAAATGATGCAACTTCGGCTCCGACCACCTGCTCTGAGAGTGTGCTTCTACGCCGGAGACAGATCTGTGAGGTCACAACAAACAAAGTCGTTAGATCCGAGCATCAGTATGAGTATATGAGAATTGCATGCTAGATTAGGGATAAGGATCTACTCATGATTGCATGATAGAATGCTAGGAGAGATGCCTTTATATTCCTATTGGTTGAGCTTTTAGAACTGCATGCTAGTATGGATTTCAGATTGTTGGATATAATGGCCTGATTAGGTGAGGCACTGGTTAGATTACTCGATGCTCGAATGCTGCTTTCTTTGTGCTTTTAGGTACCTTCAATAATATCGGCTAACTATTAAGCGAATACGTTAGGTTACATGTTGTGGGGATTAGATAATTTTACAAGGTTAGGTTTAACTCTATTGCACAACTCATGTTTGAGTCCAACCGTTGTAGTGTGAGACCTTATAGTCGAAGAATTTTCTAGTGTCTGTAGCATGTAATTGTATTCATGAGGTAGTTAGAAGGTATTAGAGGGAGTCTCTTCTACACCTGATGGAGGAGAGTGGTGTGAAAGGAACCCTAGGACAACCTAATAAGAATGTTAGAATGTTTTTGTGTGATCATTCTCGGAAGAGGGATCCAAAAAGGAGAAACTAGGAGGGTTAGTAGCATGTACCCGGTTGAATTTGGGTATTTGTGGTTGGATCGGACGATAGTGGACATGAGTAGTTACTTAGAGGATTCAGAACAATTCTTGAGGAACATACGGATAGGTGTAGAAGGTAGTATTGGGCCTGTAATACTGAAAACACAGGACTCGAGTCGAGGAAAAATTTCGGGAATTCTAAGGAGCAAATTGAGGGTAGATCGTATGGTTTGGCACCATGACTCATTGCAATGTGTTTCCGTCTTATTCAGTTTATTGGGTATGGTTGCTCAGGCTGAGGATGGATCTGGTGATTGTTTGGGCCTTAGTGGCCATGTCAGTTTGGGTTTGAATGGTGCAAACCTATATGAGTTAGTTGGTTTTGAGGTCTCGAGGGCCTGAATCGAGGTAGTGTCACTTAAGTCGCAGGACTCAAGAAGGAAGTGATTGTAATGATCAGCTCAAGGATTGCAGTCGGAGGCTAAGTGATTTGCATATGGATTGGGATGTCACTATCCACTATGGGGTTTATGTTCTTCCA